ACTCAGTGAAACAAATATAAATTCTGCAATTCCTTCTTCATATATCAGTGTTGATGGGTACTATCCTTTGATTCGTAAAGACTACAATAGTCACATGCTAGGTTTAGGGGTATACATACGCATTAATTCCCCTATTTGTCGTGAAATCAGGTTCGAATCCTTTGACCATTCTTTTATGTGCTTTCGCCTAGTACCTCTTCACTCTATCACCTTTCTCTTTGTTCTTTATCGTTCTCCTTCTTCCCATGATTGCGCTCTTTTAGATGTTATCTCTGATCAAATTGACCATGCCCTCTCTCTTTACCCCTCTACCAATATTCTTGCTGTTGGTGATTTTAATGCTCATCACACTGAATGGCTTGGCTCTAACACCACTGATCCTGCTGGCACTAAAGCCTTTAACTTCTGCGTTTCTCAATCTCTTACTCAGATAGTTAAATTTGTGACTCGTTTTCCTGACAACCCTAACAATTTACCTTCACTCCTTGACTTATGTCTTGTCTCTGACCCTAGCTTATGTTCAGTTTCTCCCTTTTCTCCCTTAGGTGGTTCTGACCATGCAATGATCTCTATAAATCTTTCTTCTAGTACTTCTTTTTTGTGCTCACCTTATCATCGCACCACCTGCTACTATTCTAAAGCTGACTGGGATTCTTTTCGTGATTTTCTTCATGGTCCTTGGGCTGATGTTTTTTTTCTCTCAGCTGATAAATGCGCCTCCTACGTAACCTCCTGGATTCAGGCTGGGATGGAAGCTTTTATTCCTTCTCGTCGGTTTCAAGTCAAGCCTCATTCTACTCCATGGTTTTCTCCTTCTTGTGCGGCTGCTATATCCACTCGTAATCTTTTTTTTCATATTTTTCAAAAGAACAACTCTCTTGAGAACAAACGGCTATTTATTATTGCAAGAAATCGATGTAAAAAGTTGCTTTCTGATACTAAACTCCATTATTCTCAGTTCACTAAATCTCGCATCTTATCGCAGAAGTTAGGCTCTAAAGACTTTTAAAAAATTTTTAACAATCTTTAACAAGGGTAGATCTAACATTCCATCTCATTCATAGGACTGATCTTATTACCCATCCCAAGGATAAGGCAGAACTATTTGCAAAGAACTTTTCTTCTAATTCCACTCTTGAATCTTATGAACATTCTCTTCCTTTCATTCCACTCAAACAGGTTGACACATTGTTAGACATTCAAATCACTCCGGCTTCTGTTTCTAAACTCGTTTACAGCTTGTGATCCAGACAATATTCCTGTCACAGTCTTGCAGAATTGTTCTCCAGAACTTTCTTCAGTTCTCTCTAAACTATTTAACAAGTGTTTGAATGAGTCTTATTTTCCTGCTTGTTAAAAATGACATCTGTGGTTCCAATATTCAAAAACTATGGAGAAAATTCTGACCCCTACAATTATAGTTCGATCAGTCTTCTTTCTGTTATTAGCAAGGTCTTTGAGTCTTTGATCAACAAATTCCTCACATCTCATCTTAAGTCAAATAAACTACTGTCAGACAATCAATACGGTTTTCGATCTTCTCGCTCTACGGCCGACTTGCTAACTGCTGTAACTGAAAGCTTTTATCGTGCATTAGATGGAGGCGGTGAGGCTAGGGCTATTGCTCTCGACTAGGCTATTGGCATGCTAGTCTTCTCCATAAGCTTGCTTCATATGGTGTTTTCTGGGAAAGTTTTTGAGATTATCAAATCATTTCTTTCTAAACTTTTATTAAAGTCATCCTTGAAGACCAACACTCTTCTTTATTTCCAGAAACTTCCGGGGCTCCCCAAGGTTCCATCCTGGGCACTGTTTTGTTTCTTATCTACATAAACGATCTTCCTGACAACCTTTCATCTAAAGTAGTTTTTTTTGCTGATGACTCAACTTTATACTCCTGTCTTGACAAAAAGTCTTCTCTTTTCGATCGCCTAGAACAAGCAGCTGATCTTAAATCCGATCTCACTTCAGTAATAGATTGGGGTTCACAGTGGCTTGTGACTTTCAACTCTAACAAAACCCAGTTGTTTACTGCAAACAACTACCGTAATATGGTCAACATTCCTATATTAATGAATGGCAATCCTCTTACTGAGTCCTCCTCTTTACGTCTTCTTAGATTATCGCTTACTACTGACCTTTTATGAAAACCATATATACAATCGATTGCTAAATTAGCTTCTGCTAAGGTTGCTTCTCTTTATCGTGCTCGCCATTTCCTTACTTCTGATTCTATTCTCTACCTCTACAAATCTCTTATTCGTCCCTGTATGGAATACTGTTGTCATATTTGGGCTGGTTCTTCTAACGATTCACTTTCTCTTCTTGACAAGGTCCAAAAACGCATTGTTAATGTTGTTGGACCTGGACTTGAGCCTCTTTTCCATCGTCGTAAAGTTGCATTTCTTTCTCTTTTCTACAGATACTATCATGGTCACTGCTCAAAGGAGTAATCATCTCTAGTTCCATCAACTAAAATTCATTCTCGTTTAACTCATCATTTAACTAAGTCTCATTCGTTTACTGTATTTGTCCCTGCATGTTCTAAAAACTTTTATTCATCTAGTTTTTTTCCTTCAATCCTTTGAAACTCTCTCCCATCTTCATGTTTTCCTGACTCATACAACCTTCAACTTTTCAAGTTTTCTGTCAACCGTTTCCTTGCTCTATAACTCTGTTCTTTTTTTTCCTAGTAACTCCCAACTTAATAGTGGTTGCTTGCAGCCTTGTTGGGAGCGAATGCAAATAAAAAAACAAAAAAAAACTATATACTATAAAACGCTAAGGGATCGTTTTTAAACTGCGCAACACTAAATTTATTTGCGCAAATTTCATTTAACTTGATCAACTATTTTGATTTTTTATTCAACATACGACTCTGTGAGAGAAAAAAAACTAGATCTTTCTTGTTTTTTTCATTAGTGTAATTTAGCGTTGCGTAATTTATGGACGATCCCTTAGGTAGATGATAACATCAAAAACCTATTCCGACGTTTGATGTTTTATGTAAATTGATTATCGGAATATACCAAAATATCTTTGCCTTGATTTTTAAACAATTTTTAATACAAATTATTTTTTTAACTTATTACCTGCCCTAACCGAAACTCTTAGTGGATGTATGTACACATCCTGCATGTTCTTCCTATTTACTAAGTCGATGTATGTCACTCCCTGCCTGTTTTACATGTTTAAGTCAGATTATGTGTGCACACTCCTTAATTTTTATAATAAATAAAGTTTTAAAACAGTTTAACCAGTGCCGGATCAAGCAGGGGGGCCTTCAGCCCCAGGTTCCTTAAATTTAGGGGCCCCCCAAATTTTAGAGGACTTTTTTTTTAGTCATTTTTAGGCTCTGGCCCATAAAAAGGCCTCTAAAAACAAAAATAGCCCCGGGCCCCAAGAAGTTTTAGCCCGCCACTGCTACTACTACTATTACTACTACTACTACTACTACTACTACTACTACTACTACTACTACTACTACTACTACTACTACTACTACTACTACTACTACTACTACTACTACTACTACTACTACTCTACTACTACTACTACTACTACTACTACTACTACTACTACTACTACTACTACTACTACTACTACTACTACTACTACTACTACTACTACTACTACTACTACTACTACTACTACTACTACTACTACTACTACTACTACTACTACTACTACTACTACTACTACTACTACTAATACCAGTGTCGTAGAAAGGTTTTTAAATGTTTGAAATAACCAACTTATAAACAACAAGAATGTTATTAATTTTTTTACGTTCATGTGTATGACAAAAAGATTAAAAAAAAAACAACAACAAGAAAACGCTGTGATAGGAGAATGGGAACAAGAAACTCTAAAATCTTATCCCCCCCTGCCCTAAACGTGAGAGCAACAAGCTGATGAAACATTTTTGTATTATTTTTAATTAGACTTCATCGAGAAATTTTAAATTTCATAGTAAAATATTTTAGTGTTCAAAAATTATGACCATATAAAGTTTGCAGCCCAATCAAGTTGAGGGGGGTTTAAATTTGATATGATCATAATTTTTGACTAATTTGTATGCTTTAAACTTGATATGGTCATAATTTTTGACTAATTTGTAAGCTTTAAACTTGATATGGCCATAATTTTTGACTTATTTGTAAGCTTTAAACTTGATATGGCCATAATTTTTATTTACCTTATGAATAACAACAATTTTATTTAATTTTTTGTAATTAAAATCTCATTATGTTTTATTTTTGTTTTGCTTTTTCTGGCGCCCCTATTATCTTGGCGCCCGGGGAACGTACGCCCCTTTTGCCCTTCTCTCTCGGCGGTCCTGCCAGCATCATCAGCTTGTTAAATATTACATTATTTTTTGTTGTTATAGTTTATATAAAATTGTTACTATTGGCATCAGCGGTTTTTTTGTTTTTAGATTTACAAAACTTCATCCAAAACATAGTTTTTTAATATATATATATATATATATATATATATATATATATATATATATATATATATATATATATATATATATATATATATATATATATATATATACACCTGTATAATGATATGTTTCAAAAAAATCATTTGGTTTTGCAAGTTAATGTAACTTGATATAGTGTTTTTTTTAAACAAGGATAGAGTTTCTTTTTACTAACCTAGCTTATTTACTTAGACTTTTGGTTCAACGATTATTTTGAAAAATTGTTTAAAAGATGAAACGTTTAAAGCATATACGGTTTTATTAATAACAAAGTTGATAAAATTTATAACAAACAATCAAACAAAAATTTTTTCGTTTGTTTTATTTTTTTTCATGTTTAAGAAAAGTTGGATTTGGTTTTTGATTTTATCATCATCTACTTTTTCCATTGCCTTGTTTTAAATTTTTATTCATGTTGCGCATTAGTTTAGTAGGCCAACACAATTTTTAAAATTACTGGTACACATATCCTATATTTTGATATCATCAATAAATATAAACAGCGTGAAGAAGTTTTTTTTTTCGCACAACATCTTATTTTTATAAAGTCATAAGTTTTAAACTGCGTTTTTTGAATTTTAAAAAGTTTTCTAAATTTTATGATGGTGGGTGTGTAACGAAATTGATGTAAAACAAATTTTTAATTTTATGTATAAATAATAAGTTTGTATTTTATTTACCAAATCTTTAAATTTTTAAATTTCTGCAAAAAAACAAAGTTGAAATACTTACTACAAGTTTGACTATTGTTTTAGTAAACACCTTTTAACGGCGCATAAAGGTTTTTGTCAGGTTTATTTGATTTCGAAGAATTTTGAAGCAAATAGATGCAAATGAATCTTTTGTTGATTTTTTTCAACTCCAGTAATGATGATGATGCTGATGATGCTGCTGCTGCTGATGATGATGATGGTGATTTTGATGCTGACGAGGGTAATCATAATAATGATGTTTTGATATTTTTTTTAGAATTTTAAAGAAGCTGTATTTCCAGATATGGATCCAAAAATAACATCAATTTTATCTGAAAAAATGTCATCTGAATGGAAAATTTTTGCACGTGGTACAGGTACAAAAGCAGCCATTATAGACTTTTTCGATTTGGACAAAGGAAGTGATCAAGCTAAAATGGAAATGTTTCTTACTGACCTAGTTAAACGAAATGAAAACAGTTATTTCGCCTTGATAGAGAAATCTTTAAAAGAGTTAGGAAAAGATCAAATTTTAAATGAAACAAAATATTTATGTAAGTGCAATAGTACTTATTTCTTCATGTATAAACTGTTTTCATTATTTTGTAATCTATTTGATGCAGTTCGGTAAATTATAATTTTAATAAATCAATTTTTGATTAATAGTGATGGTATTTTTGAACAGCATTTATTTCAAAAAAGTTTTGGCTAAAAAAAACATGAATAAAGGTTTCAGATAAATAATAAGAAAAGGGTTTAGTAAAAAAATTAAGAAAATTTTTTGTTCATGAATTTTTGTTATAAAATAATTAAAATAATATGTTATTTTCACATGTTAATCATTTATCAAAACATTTATTTGTTTTTATTATTTCGGTTAATTATTAATAATATTTCGATAACCATATTATATATGTTAAAATAATTTTGTACCAGACAGATACATTTAAGCCCAATTTATAAATTATTTCTATAAATATTTAGTGCCAGGTAGAGATAATATATAATTGACTGTTTTTTGCCAGAAGTTTTTGTAAGTTTTACTTTATTAACCAAAATGAAAGTGTCAAAAAATATATTTTGAAAATTTATACAGAGAATATTTAGGTGAGGTTACTAAGTCTTCTTACTATGATCAATATGTATAAAAACAGTAGATTGTGTTGATTGGGTATGATTGAGGGTAGCTGGATAAAGAAATAAGTAAGTTTTTTAAGTGACACCCACATGCATAAAGAAGTTCTCAAAATTTCTTATTTCTACGTCACAACTACCTTTTAGTTCAAACGACTTATTTAGCACAGTGTCACGAAATGGTCATCAACCTTAACCTCATGTCCCGAGAAAACCCTTTGGAGGGATGATAGCCCACATATAGTAGATCACTTAGATATAAATTTGGAAATCGAACTATGACGTCCGAGAGAGATATTTTAGTTTTTATTTTCTTCAATTCTGGCATATCAAAATTTAAACGAGATGATAGGAATTTGGCATTTTTTCAGTATTTATAGAGCAAAAAGTTAATTTTCCCATATATTTCTATAAAACATATAAACAAAAACATATTTTACAATAAAATTGATCCTCTTTATTCTAAAATGAATGTTTGCTATTGAAATCAATCACACAATTCAGAAGCTTTGATTCATATTCTGGATGGTTTCTTGCCCGTTTGTAACGCTGCCAATGGGAACTGAAGTCGTGATGAAGAGATTCTGTAGCTTGCTCTTAGAAAATGCCAAGACTAGAATTGTGTCTAAAGATGAAATCCTTCATGTGGAAAAACACCGCATTTGCTTTGGGATTGACTGTAGTATTTGGCAACTTCAGGTACGACTCCTGAAACTGTAAAATCTTTTGTTCAAAATCGGGGCTCAAGTGATTTCCAAAACAAGCATTCACCACTGAGTCTGTTGAAACATTGATGTCTCAATGTTTCAACAGATGGCACAGCAAGAAAAAATGAGCTTTTCTCAGCTAAACTTTGTAGGCGATCAGTGTTTTTCAAGAGCTTGCGGCAGTCATTCCCTGCAAATTGGCCACCATGAAAAGACTGCTTTTGAATATGAAGGGCTGCTGGCCATTCCTTTGATGCGGGCCAAATCTGTCATAAAGTTTTGTAGAGATGGTTAACGACTCCAAGAAGCAGATGAAGTTCCATGGGAGGAATGATGTCCAAAATCAGTGTGTCATCTGGAAGAGTCATAATGGGTTCATGGATGACGTTTTTGAAGTCTTTTGCTCTCCTTGCATTGGCACCACTGCTTTGAAACTGCAGAAAGTTTTATCGAATTGAACCAAGTGTTCTGAGACTTCCAGAGCGACTCAAATCTTTTGATTCTGCATCACACCATGAACAAGGATGTGCACTTGCATGGGACTGAAGACCACAAACAAGATTGGCGACTTTCATGTCACAAGAGATTATGTAGGAAAGTTTGTGAAGTTGAAGAGAAGAAATTATGCTTTTCAAGTTGTCATAACTATCTGGCAGATCTTCTGAAATTGCCACCAGAAGTTGCCGTTTGACTCCTGTGGCTTTAAGCCCTCGTTTTGGTGGTGGAGAATTTGAATTTGTGTTTCTGGCAATGATTCCAAGAGATACTTTCAAAAACCCACCACCTCCATCAATGCCAATCTTCATCAGCGGATCTTCTGAAACATTCCTTACTTTGATAACGTGATTTGCAAGACTTCCTACATCTGGGCAAAAAACAAGCTGTCGTGAAGGGTGCTGGTCATCATTCTATGAAGAATCTCGTATGGCCTTGGTCTCAAAATGCTCAGAAAGAGATTTCTTGAAACTGTCGAATTTTTCTCTGAAATTTTTTTCTACAATCCGGAGAGGTGTAGTTTGGTTCAAAGATGATGCCAATTTGGACATGCCACGATTTGACAATCTAGTTCCAATTTGGACTCCAACCATGTCTTGTGCCGTGAGCTTGGGCACAGCAGGAAACAATTCTCTTGCACTTGATGGTCCTAAAGAATATTTAATGGCCAAGGTTAAAATTTTCTACATTTACATTTTAAAAGAAATTTATAAGTGATTTATGCTTAAATCTATATTGCTTTACCTGGAACAACGGGAAAACGATTTCCTCCAAATGGTTGACTTAGCCGAACAGTGCCATGAGGTGATGGAGTTTTATTAGCAATTGTTAATGATGCTACCCTCTCTGCCGCAATGCTCGAAGCAACTTCCACTAAATTTTGCCTTAATGTTGAGCAATGTGGTAAAATAAAAGAAAAGACTATTCATATAACTTTAGAAAGAGGACTTAAAATTTAAACAAGAATGCTATATTTCTGTAGACAGTTTATTCACAGCACGAACACTAAAATACTTTATTTTCAAATGTCGAGCAAGCATGAAAAATAAAAATTAGAAAAATGCAACTTTACATAAATTGCAAAAGTAGTCAAGTTGATAATTCTTCTTGTTGCACTGCTGATTTAAGAGGTTATTGTAATGGTTACTATGGTTTTACGGTTGGAATCAGTGAAATACTCTTTAAATTTTTTTTAGCAAAATAGTTAAAAAAAAAAATTAAACTAAAAATAAGTGCTTTGCGCTTATTGTTACAGATAAAAATGATTCAAAAAGACAAAATTTGACATGCAGTGTTTAGGATCCCCACTTTCATACCAATTTTTACCAGTTGAACGAAATTTCATTATTTTATCTCACTTATGTGAAAATGTTAAATCTTATTATAATTTCTACTCTTTTCTTACCTAGTTTTTTTGTATATACCTAACCTTCACATGGTTTTTTTTTCTAAAAGAAATTGTGTTTATGGAAAAAAAACTGTTTTACAAGACGAAAGTATATAATTACAAAAAATTTATATTGTAAATAATACAATTATGATTGTAAACGTTTTGATAAATGTAGTTTTTCAAATGTTATAGATATGTTTAAGCATTTTTATAAAAAATATCTTTGGTCATGCTATCTATCTCAATAATAAATATTATATATTATATTTCATATATATTTTACTGTTTATAAGAGGGTTCATAAGCTCATAAGCAGCTTACAGATAAATAGATTCATATAAAACTAGGAGTATTTCATTTCGTATTTGCTTATTTTACTTAAATCTTTGTATAACACGTTCTTCGTTAATTTGTAAAACTGCTATTGTTTGACTATTTATAACTTCTTTATTTAATAGCTGATCTCTTCCATTAAATATTCCAAAGGTTGGAATATTTAGTGTTACATCAAAAGCTTTAAGAAGATCACCTATTAAAAAATTTAATCAGTCTTTGAAAAATTTCCACTCTCCATAGCTCTCTTTGCAAAATTCCCGATCTCCACTCTCCCTAGCTCTCTTTGCAAAATTCCCGATTGCATTACTAGTTCATTATCAAAAATGTTATTGACAAAAAATAGTTCACTAATAAATGTTATTACACCAGAAGAAGCAGTTAGAACTAATCCTTTAAAGGTAACATAATACTTATATCTTTTTCAGGTAATGAATAAAATAGTTTTTTGAAGTAAATTCTTAGCATCATGCACCAGAAAGAGCAATAACATTTAAACCTTGGTCATATGCACCAGAAGGAATATTTAAACCTTGTTCATGCCAAAACTCTTTAGTCTCTAATTGATTTCAAAGCTAAACCATGTACCTTGGTTTCCTTAGTTACCTTAGTTTTTATTATCAATGTGTTAGGGTTGATGTACATTTAATATCGTCAGTCCTAAAAGTCAGTCAATTTATTCACATTTAAATATGCCAATCATATTGGTCAATAAATGCATGTACATTAAGGTGGATCATTTTGTAGCAAAAGTCAAAATCCAGGAAAATTATGCTTTGCAATTTTCGTCATTTACATCAAAATGGTTATTTTTAAAGCTTTTGATTTTAATGCTATGTGCAAGGTTTGGTTGAGTTTGATTTTTTCATTTTTTCGTACTTTTTATCTGAAATAGTATTCGATAATTAAAAGCCATTTTAACTACCATTTTAATTGCCATTTGCCAATTAAAATTTAATTCTCCTCTTTTTCGCTACAAGCGTCTGATTTTGATCTTCAGATTTACTTCAAAAATACGTAATTTTAATTAAGGCAAAAATTTATAAGCATAAACATTTGTTATTTGATCATTTTTTTGGGCTAATAAGAACCTAAATTTTGAAGTCAGAATGCGACTAAATATCATTGGCTTAACATTGATAAGCAAGTTTTAAAACAAATTTTAAAACAACTAGTTGTTTATTCAAATTCAAACTGAATACTAATTAAATACGTGACTTTTTGTTAGAGCATTTCAAAAATCTTTATAGTTCTAAAAGTAAAAGTTTTTGCTCTTGGAGAAGAGGCTGCTTTGTTACTCAAGTAGTACTAACCATGGAACATACATAACACAAATAAAAATACATCATATAGCATGGTATAAATTTTTCACTTCATCTACAATTAGTATCTTGAGTTACCTTGGTCATCTGAGTTGTCAATTTATACAATTTGACTACTTAGCGCATGAATTTTGCCTCAGGATTGCATCAGGCAGTGATAATCTGAAATTCGCAATAATTTTTTCTGCAATAAAGAGTATACTAATTTGACTAACTTGAAATAATTGCTTCGTGCAAAGGTTTGAAAAGTAAAGTCAAGTAAGTTTTTTTCATTTGAAACAGAGAGTGTTTTCCTGCTCACAAAACTTGTTTAACAAGTTTATTAAGAATGGACAAAATTATTATTAATATTTACAAATTTAGTATAGATATACAATATTAATATCGATAGGCAACATTTGTATTGATGGCAACAGTATTGACAAGCAAAATTATTCTCTTTGCTTTTAAAAATTCAACCGTAAGCTTTAAAACAACTTGTATTTTTTATTGTCTAAAAACAAGCAGCCTTGATACAGTGGTTGGAGTTTTGACTCAGAACCATGAGGTTCCAGATTTGATACCGACTCTAGCCCAATTGGCGAATCAGCCTTTACAGAATTTTCCCTCTCCCCTCTGCTCTCTTTGCAAAAGTCCCGACTGCTTTACTAGTTCAATATCAGAACCAACAAATAGTTCACTATTAAATTTGGTCTGGAAGGAGGAGTTAACTTTCTGGATAAAAGTTGCTCTGCGGCGTACTTTGATATGACCGTATCTTCTTTGAGCACCTAAACAACTAGAAAAAAAAAATCAGAAATGAACATTTGAATCATATTTAGGAATCAAGTATTTAGATGATATTTACTTTCTGGTTTAATCTTAGCTTCTACTGTAACACATATAGTTTTACCTGAGGTTTGTCTCTTTTTTTTCCCTTTTTGTTTTTTATGCTAATCTTGAAAGCTTCGTTTGATAAAAAAATTTGATTATAAAGTTCAAACATTTTATTATTCCTTTAAATACTTAACTACGTCAACTTTTTCTCTTAAATTTGTTTATATGTAGATAGATATTAAATTTAAATGCTCTACATAATATTTAATATTTATTTTATTTTATAATAGTACGCAAATCAAAATAAAAAGTATACAAATTATCAAGAAAGTTACTCAAATTGCTGTGGCATGGTTTTTCCTTAAACTTTCTAAGGTTATACTCATTTAACTTTTTTTTATAGATGAAATATACAAGTTGAAGTTACATTATATTATGACCTATGGTGATTTTTATGCACAAAGCGATATAAACTCATTTAAAAAAAACACTGTTAACCTTTCCACAGACCATTTTGATCTGGTCAAAGTAGAAACTACGTATCTTCAAAACGTTAAAGACGATTTTAATGAGTGGACAGATCATATTGAAAAACAAAACATTTATAAAAAAATAGCTTTTGAGGAAGTGTTTTCACAAGATTTGCCATTTCTTTTGATTTCTGGTATAGCTGGGATTGGGAAGACATACTTTCTTAAGAAGTGCCTTTTGCTTTGGGCCCATGGGCTACTTTGGAAAAACGTTGACTTTGTTTTTTATTTTGATTTAAAAAAACTTAATAATTTAAATGCTATTTCAAGTTTAAATGAACTAATTAGAAAGTTTTACGGAAATATATTGAAAGGATTTGAAATTTCATCTCAACGGTCAATTACGCTGGTAATTGATGGGTTAGATAACTTTACACAACTTGATAACTTAATTTATCAAAAGTTAGATGATATACCTCTAATAAATACATTGAATTATGCTTTTAATTCTAAAGAGATTAAGTGCGTTCTTGCAGGAAGAGTTCAAACCGCTATTGCTTATTGGAATGCATGTAAAGAAAATGACGCCATTACAAATATTCAAATTATGGGTTTGAATAATAAAGGAATGACGTTTTATTTTGAAGATATTTTATTAAGCTCTACTCTTAAAAATCAATTGAATAATATTTCATCATTATCGATTGAAGGAAAATTAATACTTTCTGTTCCTCTATATCTAAAAGCAATATGCAAAACAGTTTTAAACATGGGTATTTTTTCTGTAAATACAATTACGGAGTTACTTGGATTAGTCTTCTATTATTTTATACAAAAAAAATACAAAGATAAAACCAGTTCATTGCATGAACTTATGCATATTGAAACACCATTTATATGTTCCATATGCGACGTTGCTTTTAATTTATTAGAAAACGGAAACTCTTTTGTTTGGCAATTTACTGCTAACGACAGTTTGAAAGAGGATTTTTATTTTATTAAAAAATGTAACATCAATCAACAACATGAATTCCATCATTACATGATGCTAAAATTTTGTGCTTCTATACATTTGTATATGTTTGAAAGTCTTCAAAAAGCTCATTCCAACAAAAGATTGCATGCGTGTTTACCAATTATTACAGGACTAACTTATGGTAGAGAAAGAAATATGTTAAGTTTAATCAGTAGCATAAAGAAAACAAGAGAAAACAACGACAGCCTTTTACTTACACAAATATTAGGTAAGTTATTAGAGTTAATTTTTATTTTTTACACGTAATCTGAAACATAATGAGTATAAGTTTTTTAAAACTTTTTTTCTTTTTTATTGTTTGGTTGAAATGTAAAATGTTTTTTAGTTCCATATCTAGATTTGAGTTTAGTACATCAAAACAAATAATAAAAACAGTTTAAGTAAATCAAACAGTTTGAATAAATCTAAAAAAAACTTTGTTATTGCCTCCGTATTGCCTAATTATAGACTAAATATGGCTTAGCAAATAATTTTTACATGACACTTAATTTAATAAGCATATCCTATTAGTAATGTTAATGCAATATTTTCTGGAACCTAAATCATTGCTTGTTGGTTTTTTGACAGATTTACGTACATAACTTATTTTTTTCAATATATCCTGATACACATGGCTAGAATATCTAATAAAGCAGCAGTGGCGCAATGGTTAGAGAGCTTGTTTTAGAAGCAAGAAATCCAGGTTTCGAAGCAAAGAGATCCAAGGTTGGCGCTACTGGTAAGGAAGGAGGCATGAACTTCCTAGTTAGCTGCTCTTTCTGCGGTGCTCTGTGATAAGACCTTAGGTCTACTAGGGACAAAAAAAAAAAAAAATTTACCTAATAAATCAACCAATAATTTCAAAGAGCATTTTTTTAAACCTTATTATAAACCCAATTGGCTTTTAAGTAATCTAAATGTTAAACCCAATTACCAACCAAATATATTAAAGTACATTTTTTGATATTACAAAGTACATTGTTTGATATTAATGTCGGCTAATGATCTTGTTTTGATTGATCAATAAGTCTTAATTTAGTCGATTGACAGACGATCACATAGTGAAAAAATTTTTAAACTTACAATTTACTCTACAACAAAGATACTCTTGAAAAATATTGAAAACCCATTGCAATGGGTTGCAACGGGTTTTTTTGTTAGAATCTGTACTTGCTAATTTGAAATCTTATAATGGAGAAAAACGAGTACTTTACAAACGTTATGTAGGTGACATTTGCTTCTTTCCATCCAGAAAACTACGCTTTTTTATTATTCACTACATTCTGAATTTTTTTTTTCTCTATCAACAAAAAACTTTCCGCAATATCTTTTTTTTTTTTTTTTTGTTCTTTCCTTGAATATTCAATATAATTTATACAATAAGATAGTTAAAATAAAAATCGTTATATAATAAAAAAAAATATATACAAAAAAATTTTTACCATGGAAAAGGTAGAAAATGTCAAACAGTTTAACAATTGCAAAAGTTTTTCAAAAAAAAAAACTAGATTATACCCCAACTTTTACTTCATTTTTATTTAAAATTTTAAATTTTAGAATTTTCAAAATTAAAAATACTATTCTTGGTCTTCATTACTATATTACCAATCTTTTTTTAAATTCTCAAACGTAATATGTAGCCATCTTGAATAATAAAAAAAATCCACAGTTTTTACTTAAATTAAGGCACCTGACCCGATTAAATCAGGACAAATTTCAGGTCATTCTTGTTTAATTTGTTAATAACTTTATCACATGATGTGATATGTCATTTTGTAGAGAGTTTAATTCTCTATAATATGAAATTATTTTGAAATTCGAATTTTATCAAAAATGGTTAAAGTTAACGCATCAAAGGAAGAAAATATAAGAAAAACTATGTACCAGTTCGTTAAAAACCATTCGTCTTGAAATAAACCACAGATTGTTAAACACTTTCAAGAGAAAGGAATTCCTAGATCAACCTGCTATAATATTTTAAAAAGAATGGAGAATAAAATACAACCTGAACGGAAAGTTAGAAATAAACCACCGGTGTTAAAAATGACTAAAGCAAAAGTTACACTTTTAAAAAATTCAATTGATCATCACCATGGCATTAGCCAACGTGCTCTTGCCAAAAAATTTGGTGTGTCTTAATCAACAATATTTAGAACGATAAAACAGAAAACGAACATCAAATATTACAAAAAGAAAAAAGCGCCTAAATCAACTGTTAAGCAAAAAGAGGTTGCGCGTACAACATGCTATCAACTTACCAAGTTTTTTCGCAAAAAAAAAGTCATAATTGATGATGAGTTATGAGAATATAATCCCCAGTGTTGTTTTGGGGGATTAAAGTCATCCCCTTAAAATTTTCAAAGTTTCTTATTCTTTCTGTATTTATAGCAATATTTATAGCAAAAATATTTTAACATTATCGCAGTTTATTATTATTTTATAATAGCAATATTATTTTATAACAGTGTAGCAGGACTAAAAAGATCTTAGAAAATTATAAACTATAGACTATAAATTTGTTTTTAAATAAGTAGAAGAGATCTTCAGTTCTTTGGGATGACAATGTTCATCAAACTTAATGAGCTATATAGATTTTTTATTTAACATACGACTCTGCGATGAAAAATTGATCATTTTATTTTCTTCAATTGTGAAATTTATGTTTGCGTAATTTTTTGACGATCCCTTATTTTAAAGTTTGGATAAAGGATCAGTCTAAAAGTATAAAAAGCCAAAAAATAATATAGTATAATACTATTTTGATGGTTATCTAAATTATATCGTTGTTGCGCACTCGGTTTTAAATGTTTAACAGAGGTTAGTAAAATAGCTGTATAAGGGGTCGTCGATAAAGTACGTACACCAAAAATTCTGAAATTTGACACCCCTTTTCCCTGTTGCCATGCGTATTTTTAAGTTCCCACCCGTTTAAAAAGTACGTACGTTTTTCATATATCCCTTCCTCCTCCAAATTGAAAAAAAAAAAGGTGGAAGAGATGCCCTAGATACTTTTAAGGTATCTAGGGTACCTCCCCCACTTTTTTTATTTCAATAAATTTTTATATTAAAAAAAAAAATAAAAATAAGCAGGGTAAAAAAAGTATAAAGTATTCATACAACCCCAAAGCCCTATGTTAAAAACATCATTAAATAAATACAAATATAAATTTAAATAAAATTAGATCTTGCATTATCGAAGAAATAGCTTGGCCGAGTGGATAATTTTATGGGCGATAAGGGGCTATCCATAGAGTACGTACGCAGGTATGGGGGGAGGGGAAGGGGTTTCCCAAAAGCGTACAAACGCGTAATAGGGGGGAGGGGTGTTAAAGACAGTGAGTACGTACGCGGTTTGACTTTCCTAAATTTGATTTGATTTTTTATTTTTTTTTTAAATTGAATTTCACGTGTGTAACAAATCAGAATTGAGCATTTTTTTCTGATTTAAAAAATTGAGTTAATTATAAAAAAAAAAATAATGCGTACATACGCAGAGAGGGGGTGGGGTGGGGGAAAAGGAGAGCGTACAGGTTCGTACTAGAAGAAGGTTGGGGGGGGGGTCTTAAATCTGTGATTGTACTGCGTACGTACTTTATGGAAGCCCCCTAACAGCGGAGACTCGAGTTCGATTCCAAGTAAAGTCCTATTTTACTTTTTTTCGCGAGTCACGCGAGAAGAATAATATTGAAAACAAAGCTTAAAACCCAGTACCGAGTGTAGGCTACCCATACCCCGTAATTAGAGGGGGTGGGGTGTTGTGGGGAAGAAGCAAATTTTATGCCTTTTTGGTATTTTAGCAAAACCTAGCGGTAAAATTTGGAAGATTTTGAGACCCTAATGACACGTTGTTTTTTTTTAAGGGAGGAGGGGGGGGTCTCCGACCTATAAGCCTCTGCACTGCTAAAACCTGTTTTTTGTTGACTCAAAAATTGGCAACCTGTTTTTTGCACATGCATGCACACATACCACTTCTTATATACTCTTTATAAGGCCTTAAGTATCCATAGGGCCAGTATAGGGGTGACATGGACGAATGCAGGATTTTTTGATGTTCCAGATAAGACACTTTCACACATTGTGCAAAATCCAAACTTAAGTATGTTTATACCAATGCCAATTGAGGAGACTTTTAAAAAAAATTAGGATAGCGGAGACCTGTCAACAAATAGCCTCTGAAACGTTTGCCCCCCTGCTCAAACGTGAGGGCATTTATGTAGAAAATTTTTAACTTTTTGATCTAAAACAAAATTCAAATTTATTGACAGAACATAAATTTCGTTGAAAAATAAATGTAGAAGCAAAATGTACAGATTCATTTATTTATTTCTTTTGGGGGAGGAAGTCGGAAAATTTTACTACATTAGTGTCCTCACGTTTGGGCAGGGAAGGAGATCCAAGCGTTTGAGGGCTTTTTTGTTCCCAGACTACCGCCATAACAATTTTTTGCAAGGCTTCTTCAAATAACATAGGTATAAACATACTTAAGTTTGGAGTTTGCACAATGTGTGGAAGTAGTTTATCTGGAACATCATAAAATCCTGCGGGCGCCCATGCATGTGTGTGCATAGAGAGAAACCTTCTACTCCCTATACAATACATCTTTTTATGTTGGCTAGCTAGGATCTTTAGTCAGAATTTTAACTTTTCTATTGACTAGCTGGTTAATTGTATAAAGTTAGACAATCGACGTACGTACTTTATGGAAGACCCCTAACTCTAAATTTCCTTATTTTATCAATATTAAATAACTTTAACTTTTATTTATTTTTAAAAGTATTTAGTTCAATAAGATGATTTAATTTAAGTATAAAATTAGAATTTTTAATTATGTTCTTATAAAAACATACTTTTTAAACCCCCGAAGTGTTATGAAAAAGTTAAGGTCGCCGCATGGTAAGTTCAAATCATAAACTTGCTTTATTTCTTAAATTTTTGTTATTTAAAAAGTCCATTATTAACATATTATATACTCATTTTTCTTATAGAAACTCAACTTAGTTGTAAAAAAACTTGAAATGTAAAACTAAAATAACATAAGTATATCAACCATGACACATACGCAATAAATATACCACCTTTTTTTAAATGTTTTTAGAATTTTTAGCTTTTTTAAAAATCTTCTTGTTTGTTAAAGTGTATAACACCGTTAGATATGTTTGTATAAAATCTTTATAAAACTTCAGTATTTAAAAAATTTTTAAAATTAAAAAGAAAGTCACCGGTGGTTAG